ATTAAGTAGCATAAAAACAAGTGCAGCCCAGTCAGCAATTAGCGCATTTATCAGACACAAAAATGTATCAAATTTAAGGTATTATTGATCAGAACTTCACATATTCTGGCTACGCTATGCTATATATAGTCACGGTTGCTGGTATTTCGGTATTTCGGCATTTCAAACTTAAACCACATTCATTTCCGTGAGGTTTCGGGCATTTTAAGTGTTGCCAGAACATCTACGATACGAAATGGTATGTGTTGCACCTCAATCCAATGCCAATCTGCAGTGCTCAGTTTCAGTTGACCGCACGGCTGACTGACCTCGTCTCCAGTTGCCAGTTTTCGCTAGCTTCAGTCCATTTTTCCGGTCTGACTGTCTGTCTGTCTCTCTGTACGACTGTCTGTTTGGCTGGCACTCGTTCAGGAAATATGTCAAATTCGTATTTGCATTTTTTTCTCATTTCGCTTTGCACTTTATCTCGTAACGTGTATTTGCCTGCAGCTGGTGTATGCCAGGGTCTCTTAATTGAAATCGAGATGGTCTCCGTTTCAGCTGGTCCATATTTCTAACCCAAATATTGACTCCCAACTGCAGTTGACCTTGTGTTAATTACGGCTTGAGTAATTGTTAATAGAATACAATAGTCGGGTCATCAATGTCAATTACTGAAAACCAATTTGATTTTTATAGAGACACCCGCAAAAAATAAATGCTAATTTTCTTAATTGAAATCAATTGCATGCATTTGATTTGTGCCGATAACCACGCAAATCCCTGTCAATTTAAAAGCAAACTCGTTATACGGTCATCATAATATGCACATGAACAAAAACAAAACATTTACAACTCGAAATAGACAGCAATTAGTTCGAACAATCTATGGTCAAAATTCATTTCATAAATGTGCTTTTTATGCATTTTTATGGAAGCTGTGAAAGTTGATCAAATAAAAGGGTATATCAATTTGATGTGAATGCATTTTAGATGTAAAGGGTTATTATTAAGAGTCTCAAAAGTATATTCACTCAACGTGGCTGCTGGTTTGATGGGAATTGTATTAATAATTTGAGTTGAAGTTGTGTTTTCTGTTTTTTTCAGCAAAACAAGCATAAAATTTACAAATGGGTTGAGCCTGTTAAAAGACTATTTTAATATATCTATCAAGTTGTTGCCTATGAACAACAAAATGTTGGCAAAACTAGTGAATACGCCATATATTTGCTGATAAATGGTCGTCACAGATTTTAGCTGCCAGTTAAATCAGTCTCGGAGACTATCCATTCAAATTTAGCTGACTGCTTTCTTTTACCAAACCCATCTTGCACCTTACATATGTATTATAACTCTCTCCCAAATCGATAAATATTGATATTTAATGCGATGCATTCTGAGGTTTTTTCTTAACGTTTAGCACATGGATTTATTTGAATGTCACTTGGTTAAATTATTGCCTAGCTTCTGCAAAGATTACAGGGTATCTTCTATTTCCCATTACTCCACTACAGTTTTTCTAATTGTTTGTTGTTTTTGTTGATGTTGCACAAGAATTATTAAAAAATTGTGCAGCTATTGAGAAATGCCAGCAGCAGTATTATATAAATATGCATGTAATAAACGCCTAGCATCAATGCAGTTGATGGCAAAATGTAATAAACTTTCAAAAAGGATTTGTCCCACAAAGCGCAGTTGTTATCAAATATATAAACCAAATGACCTGCAGAAAAAACATTTAATACAACTGAGAAACACACAAATAAATAGAACGAATGAAAGAGAAGTGTTTTGTTCGAAAGCCGAAGAAAAGATGCCTTCAATTTCTAGGCACTGGCAGACTACAAATAATTATGTCAGCCTTAATAAAAGTCAAAAGAAAATAATCTTCGAAATTTAAGTAAATCTATTTACTGGCGCATCCTTTTTGCATATCTCAGATTATGCATAAAAGTGCATTTCTTAGCAGCAAGTCTTGCCACACACCATTCACGACTTATGGAAGTCAAACGATAAAATCTATTAGCAAAAAATAAAAGTAATGGTTTAAAGGGAGGCAGCTGCCAGCTAAATGAACGTCATAGATGCTAAGTCCTTTGACAGTTGGCGTTGCGAATCCAAAGAAGTGCATCGGAAGATGCGCTGAGTCTTTGTGACTGTGAATCCGACTCGGCTTGTCAAAATGTGCGTCAACATCATTAAATTTGCATAGAATGCAGTTGACTTTTCCTGGTGAACTACCTTTTTAATACCCTTTAGTCAATCAAAATATTGTTGGGAGATCGGTGGCAGCAACAACCTGATATAGTCAGTCATTTCTGACATCTGTCGTATCCTATCTATATGATCTCAGAGACTTTGAACGGTAGATAAAACAAATTTGATATTCAGGCTCTTGATTATAATGCATAGATCCAGCGTGTCCTAAATTTGGAAACCTCCTCTCAATCTTTCATGTTAAAGCAGGATTTTAAGATTTTAAAGCATGTTTTCTTGTGTCGCGGAAAATGTTTTTAAATGTTATTTTATTTGTACATCAACTCTTGTTGCTCGAATATTTTAAAAGAACACTTAAGATAATATCTGCACATTTTTAGACCTTCTTAGAGAGTATCTCCTAGTTCAGCAGCTTTCCCCTAAGATATTCAATCTTGTTAAATATTCGCAGCGGCAGCAAATGCAAATAACGTCTGTTGATTAAAAATGCAAAAATGCAGTTATGATAGATATAACGAATGTTAAGTGAATAGAACGAAGCAATTATGAAAAATAATAGAACTCAATAAAAATAAAGTAATCTTTATGGATTATAATTTATATAAAAAATATAGTACGATTTTACAAGCGTAACACGTACAAAAGTTCTTTCAAATCAATAAATTTTTATTATTTAAAATACGATTATAGCATACGATCTCTGAAATTTAAAAAAATGATTGTAAAATACGATATCTAAATAATTTAAAATATGATTATAAAATAACACATTTAAATATTTTAGAATATTATCTTTAAATATTTACAAAAATACGACTATAAAATACTGTCTCTAAATATTTTAAAATACGTTAATAAAATATTTTATACCACAATTTTAAAGTATGATCTTTATAGATACGATTAGGAAATATCATATTTAAATATTTCTAAATACGATCTTAAATTAGTTTAAAATACGATCCTTAAATATTTTGTATATACGTTTTTAGAACATTTTTAAATTCAACTAAAAAATGAATTTAACTTGACTATAATAATTTTAAACTAAAGCCTGAACCCTCATGCCTAGTATGTGATAAATGCCTAAACAGTCAAATATCAGGGCCATACTCGCTTTTTCGATACCCATCTTTTAGTGGAGTAAAAATGCACCTTAAAGTGCCGCCTAAAAGTAAACACTTCTTTTTTGTCATCACATCCTTTTGGGCGACAAATGTTAAGGAAAGTAGACGGCTTAAAAGGATGGGTCCTGCGCTGTGGGGCGTCTGAGCGGGAATCTGAAACTGACTCGGAAAATCAAAAGGCAGCTCTTGAGCCATTTTATTTATAATGAACTTCATTTGGGGCTTTGTGCAAAATACAAAGGCAAGCGAGAAAGGGTTTAATATCGTGTTCCGTTTTGCTGTTTTTTTTTCTGAGGGCGCTGCAAAAGGAAGGCAAAGGGAAGCATAAAAGCCAGTGCAAGGATTGCAGCATGCTGCTACTGCTATTGTTTTAAGCATTTGTTGTTGTTGTTGCTGTTGTCCCGGTTGTTGTTGCTGTTAAGATTAATATGCTGCCGTTTTCTACTACTTATGCTGCCTTTCAAGCTAGCCGTATTCTTAAAGGCGCACAGAGCACGTCCTGACAAGTTGCCAAGTGCGCATGTGTTCGTATAATGACTGCCATCTCTGTATATGTATGTGTGTGTGTGTGTGTGTGTGTGTGTGTGCGTGTGCTGAAAACTTAAGTCATGCAGCAAGCCAGCGTGAGGCATGCAGCGAGGCAAGCCAAACAAAATGCAACTCACAAACATATCCACATACACTACTTTAAAAAGGGATTTATTGTGCTACATGTGTGTATCTAGTGCGTGTGTGTACATATGTGTGTGTGTGTGTGCCTTGTTGCTGAATTTCAGCACTCAACTTGCCGCTTTTGCAACTATCAGTCCCAGGCAAAAGTCTTAACTGCTACAAACCCCCGCACCCCCCGTCAGCCCAAAACCCTGCCACAGCCCCTTCACAACGCTTTTTTGTGTCAAGAGCGAAAAGCCGCCTGTCTCACAAAACAGAGCGGAACGGCTGGCGGTTGGATGCGGCAGAGAGTATCCACCCAGAACCTAGCGATACCACTCCAAAATTTTCCGCTGGCGTAGCCATTAACACAACTGAATTAAAACTCAGCTCAACTGAATGGAACGGAACGGAACTTGCCGGCAATTACACATTATTCTGATAATATGATGCTGTCTATTTATAATGAAGTTTCCCTCTTTTATTGTTGTTTTCTCTCCCTCTCTCTCTCTCTCTCTCGCTGTGCCACTTTTCTTTTATTTGTTTCTCAAGTTGTTGCACCTCCTCCTTCAGGCTCAATGCTCAAAGGAAAACTTTATAACTCATGAGTAGCATCAAATTGTTGTTCAGAGGCGAAATTGTGAGCAAACTATTGTAGCATACATCAACAATTTCATCAAAGATAATACAAACATTATGAATATGAGGAATTGTTGAATAGTTTATCGAATTGGTTATGCATAAAAATATTTCACACTTCCATTAAGAGCTTATGGCGAAATATATATATATATATATAAATATTTATATATATATTAATATATTTTAGATTACTTTTTTTTATATGCCTCAGGGATATATATATATAAAAATTATGTATAAAAATAAAAATATATAAATAATTATTGTAAGCAATAGAGCCTGGCTTGTAAATTAAGGAGATTAAATATTATTTTAAGCGCACTTTTGTGCACCCAAATAAAAAATCTACCACACAGAATATACCCAATAATCAGACAAACTAAAAATTATTGAATTCATTTAATTTGTTCATTTTGGCACTTAAAATTTACAAGAAAAGTGTACAAAAAAAAGAGTCAAAAATATTGATAAAAATAAACCGAAACTGAAGCTACTGAAGGTTGCGTCTTTGCAGTATTTTTTTGATGTTGCCATCGCTTGTGCGGACCAGGTTGATGCTACTGCTGCCCGCCTGGCTGTGACGCAGTCTCAAGGCCATGCAGGCTGGCGCAATAATGTCATCCACATGCGGCACCTTGGCCGACACGGGGACACGCTCCAAGCCCGTCCACAGTACTTGACGCTCCAGAACATCTTCCGTAGGTGTTGGTGCGATGGCCACCTCGAATGAGCCGATGCGTGGCATGTTGTTCTCGTTCAAGCGCAGCTGGAGCTGCATATCTGGCTGGAGTGCGCGCAACGCTTCCGCCAATGAGGCATGCAACTCCGTGGCGCGTCTTCGGTAGTCTGCATGGGCGCGACAGCATTCAATATAGAGAACTGGCTGGTGCGGATTCAATGGCGGTGGCACATTCAGCTGCGACATGCTACCGCAACAGACTGCTGCTTGGTTTCGGCTTCAGTTTGGTATTTTTAATTTTTGAATGTATCTCAACATTTTGCTGGTTCTCAGACACAGCTGAAACTTGACAGCTTACTGCCGGGCAGCTCTGCTCACTGCTTATCGGGGGCTCGCGAGCTCGGCCGCAGCTCCCCAGTGTGTCCATGCTCTGGCCCACCTACCTACCAAAAAAAAAACACACACCTTCATAAATCAAGCCAAAGCGTATCTGACAAATAAATCTTTGAGCTGCCCTGAATTCATATACAAATGCAAATGCGCAATATGAGAGAAAGCACAAGCGAGAAAATCTCATTGCCCAGTCACAAAATGAAAATGTTGCCCGCATTTAAATACGGGCATACTTTGTGTGTGTTTGTGTGTATTTTTAGCCCAAACCCCACTTGTCTGGCATAAAATTGCAAGCTGTCCACTTTCAGCTGACATTTGGCCAATAGCCTTTGGCCGCCAGTTGAAAACTTTGTTCAATTTTGAGCTAAGCAAAACTCATAAAGCGTTTTATATATACAATTTCGAATAAATATGCGTGCATATTTTTTTTTTAATAAAATTCATATAAATTACTTTCTAAAATGCATATTCTACATTGATATAAATAGATATTTAAATGTATATATTTTTCAATAAACCAAATCGACAACACAAAGGCTCCGTGGCTGTTTGTTCGTATTGGGCCAAGGAGGGGACAAGGTTGCCAATGGCTGCCATCTATTCATTTTATTCACATCTATTGAAAGCAGATCAGCGCTGCCAGCAAAATAAAATATAATAAAATATGAAAATACGTAAATAGAAAAAAAAGAGCATGAATGAAAGCAAAGCAGCAGCTCAGTTATGATAATAAAGCGCTTTGCTACATTTTGGCCAAAGGTCGCCAGACAACAACGGCAAACGAATCGGTTCAAAGCAATGCGAAATATGGCGTATATTAAACAGACATAAAGTCGGGTATCATGGGAGCAATATCCGTAAATTAATAATCAATTTCCATGTTTGAAGTTATTGGGTTTGTGTTCAAATAGACTGATGTTGGGTAACAGAACATAAGCAGTAATAATTAAATTGATTTTTTGAAGCAATCGATTAGAATTCTTCATTTGAAGCACGATTTCAATTTTGCATAATATTTCTCAAAATGTCTAAGAACAAAAATAAGAAAAGGAAAGGCCGCAATTGCGCACAAATTGAATAAACAAATAAATAACAAGTTTGATAAATCTATTTTTAGTTTTTTCTAAACTAAGCAAAATTAATGCAAATCAATTTATTTATATTATTTTTTGCATGTTGTAAAAGATAAATTTTTTTCTGTTTTTAGCTTTATAACGAATATATTAATATTTTTCATGTTTTTATTACAATTGGGGAATTGAGATAAAAAGCAAAAACCTTTAACATATTATTTAACTCTTTTTGATCTCTCTTAAATTGTTTCATTTCAATTTTTATTATTTGTTTTATTAATTTTTTTTACAATTGAGAATACGGATTATAACACAATAGTTAAATATATTAACTTACCTAATTTTAATGTCTTCTAAACTTTACAAAATTTATTTATTTTATATAGCTCACATCACATTTATTTAATTTATATCATTGGAAAAAGATGTTAAGAATATGCTATAAATCATAATTTATGTATATAGCTAGGCATCTATAAACAATTTAAATTTTTGTTATTTTTACTCTTTTTGCTACGATAAATATTAGATTTAGCAGCTGCGCAGCGGCTGGCATTGGACTAAGCTGAACGACAGTAGATTATTGCTGCCCAGGATTCCTGATGGAATATATATAGAATTCAAATATATAAACATATAAAGCGGGTTAAGCTGAACGGCAGTCGATTAGAATGCCAAAGATGACCTGATTCATTGTCTCCTTATAAAGCATTCAAACGTAATTCAACTAAATATATTTATATATATATATATATATATATATATATAGATATATACATCTGAGGCCACACATTGCGGCATTCTGTGGCATGGACCGCCTTCAGCCTTCGGTAACAGTTTTTCTACTCGGCCGTAAATTGGCCAATGCGGTTGTCCAGCTTTCCCTTTTTGCTATGAAATGCTGGGATTAAAAAGCGTTTTGCATGTCCATTACCCGAGGGGGGGTGCAGTCAGTTGGTTGGGCGGAAAGAAAATGCCGTAAACGAATTTGCGAAAATTATTTGTGCGCCTGGCCAATGCTTGATTAAATTTTTGCTACGAGCCCGCTGGGCATACAGCATATTATATTTATACCTACTATATATATACATATCTAGGGTTGGGCATCCATTGATACTTTGATTTTGGTACGTACTGTGCGGGGGGGGGGGGGGGGGGGCATTTCCCAGGCGCATTACGCAGCGCGTCAAGCAATAAAAGTGCTATTGTTGCTTTTGGACTATTTTTTGTTGTTGTGCTTTCTATATTTTATTTCAATTATGAAAACTTTTTACGCGCCTCATCCACACAAAAAGCTGGGATAAATAACAGACACCCCGTAAATGGATTTTTGGGACTATGCCTGCAATTTCTTTGTGGTTTTGCTTAATTTTTTTTTTATTTTTATTGTTCTCCCCCCCAAAACTTTCATTTTGTCGTTTGTCGCCTTAAGTAAACAAACATTTATAGCTCAATTGTTTTTGGAGCGCGCAGCTTTCACGTGAATTGATGAGTTTTAAATTGTTTGCCTCGCCCATATTTCCTTTTCACTTTCACATTCCATTTGGTTTTCCTTCCTTTTTTATCTCTATTATTGCTGCAATTTATTTAAAATACGTTAAATGCGTTTGTCTAGCCTAATTGAAGCAGCTATTTTCTGGAATTTCTTTTATTAAAGTTTAATTGATTTTTCTCTTTAGCTATTGACAACTTGTTTAGTGTGAAAATACTAGGAACCATGTCGCGTTCCTTCGAATTATCTCTGTGGACCTGGAGAACGTCTTCCTTGGCCGCTTCTTAGACACGAGCTTTCACTTTGCTAAGGTATATATATGTTCGCCTCAACTTTTGCTCCGTAGACTCTTTTTCACTTTGTAATGTGCTTTTGTGCATCAACAGGTAAACGTTTTTTTCAGTTTCCTCTCAGACCTGTTTATAATTAAATATATTCTTTTCAATTTATATAATATTCCATCGTGGCGCGGCCCTATGTGTCCTGGAACCGTGGACGTATTGTGCCTTTTAAAGTGTTTTGTTTATCTTTAATTAGCAATTTGTGCCTGCCGTCCACTTAGACGGAGCTAGCGCGGTGGGTGTAAGGCGACTTAATGACCCGCCCGGAGTGCTGTGTGCATTATATGATTAATTACCTAATTATTGTATTATATTATCCGCCAGCTGTGGGTATTGTATCTTAAAGCCTGCCTGCGGACATTTTGCTTTTGTTTAATAATTGAGATTGCCCTTGGGCACAGACCCATGGATCTATATATGTATTTACAACCACTCATTGATTTTTTGCCCATCGTTTATGGCCCTCGCCCCACCAAACAAAAAAAGGTCAAACAGCAACAGTTTTTGCGCCCCGCCCAAAAGAACAATTGTGGCAAAAACTCACGACCCCAACAAGTCTTTTGTAAATATATTTCGTTTGGAATTCCAAACACGTGCGCCCAAAAAAAAAAAAAAAATGGTACTATAAAAACGTATGCGAGTACGAGTTCGAGTACGAGTCGATACATCTAAGCATTGTAAAATACTCAATGCCAAGTCATTTACACTGTATCAAAGGATTTCAACTTATTTCTGATAGTTTTTTGAAATTGGGGTCAGCATAAGGTTGTGTGTGTGTGCGTGTGTGTGTTTGTGTGTTAAAACGATTGCCATTCAATTTATTTTGTGAGTCGTTTCTGCTTAACACAAAATTATTCATTAGCTTTAAATAGTTGCGAATTCAACTGAAGAGGGCGTGACTTTGAGTTAACATGAAGTTAACATGTAGTTAAATTTAGAAGTGGACAGATAGCCGCATTATCTTCCAGGCTTTAAAAATTTCATTTTTTTTTTGCCAATATTAGATTTAATTGTTCCAATCAGCTACATTTTGTGTTTATGTCTTAACCTGTTGTCAGCAGAGCTTGTAAATTGTCTGCCTAGCGGCAACGCCGTCTCACGCAGTTGGCAACACTTCAAAGACATGTTTATTAAATCTTAAAATGTGTCAGTAAATTTTGCTTACATGAGATAAAATGAAAACTTATAAGCCAATTTGATGGCATATTAAACTGACTGTCAATTTTGACAATAACATGGGCAAAAGGACGCTCAAGTATCTATTTCTATTTCAAAAATGTCGAATGTCTTGTGTTGTTTGCAATGATTTCCATTAGCAAGAATAACAGTTGATGTATATAGATTCAAGCGTCTAACATTTGCCTATTCTACACACACACACATACACAATCTAGCACACACACACTCGCACGCACATAAACATGCCTTGGGCTGACGTTGTGGCGCTTTATCACTAAAACAAACTTGTAAATAAAAAACAAAAATTATTATTAAATTTTTTTTCCGGGCCAAAGTTTATGCATAAATCCAGACCGAGTGTAATACATGCGGGGTGTGCATGTGTGTGTGCTTGTCTGTGTGCATGTGTGTGTGCTTGTCTGTGTGCATGTGTGTGTGTGTGTGTGTGTTGTGGCAATGAATGCTGAGCGCTGTTTTGTATAGCATACTTAGCGGGGCAGACGGGCAGGCAGAAATGCGAAGCAAACGCTTTCAATATCAAAGTCACGTGCAAATGTTGTATATTACTTTTGGCCAGCAAGAGCTGTGCTTGTTGTTGTTGTTGATGTTGTTGCTAGTTTGTGTTGTTGTTGTTGTTGCTTGGTAAGCTGGTATTTTCGGCATGCTGGCAACACGCTCGCGTACATACATATATGATTCTAGATGGAGCTCGAGTGATTTTAGTTTGAATTTTACGTGCCCATCAAAATGATTATGGGCAGGCACAAGCCCAACTAACACACATATACAAGCAGACACAGATATATATACACACACACACAGCAGGCAACGTTTCATGTTGTTAAGGTATTCATGCACTTCATTAGCAGCATCATGTCAAGTGGCAAAAAACTCCCGCTGTGTGTGTATGTGTGTGTGTTTGCGTGTGTGTGGCCTGCG